AATTGCAATCGGGGGAATTCTCGGGCGAAGCCGGGTCATACGTCTAGTATAATATAAATGACTTTATGTATTATTTACGAACGGAAAAATATGTCCAGGGTAGCCTAGTGGGCATGGCATCTGCCCGGTAAGCGGAACACTGTATGTTCGATTCCCATCCCTGGACACTTTTATTTTCCGTTTATCATTACTCTTCACAAATCACCCTTTCTTACCTCATCCAAAAGGTTAGAAATAATCGTTATTTCTCCTTGAAATAAAATTTGAATTATCGTTGAAAAGAAACACATGCGGGATAGTATTTCAAATGTCGTTTTACAATCACAAGTCGCATTATATTATATTGTATTATAAATTACTTTATGTATTATTTACGAACGGAAAAATATGTCCAGGGTAGCCTAGTGGACATGGCATCTGCCAGGTAAGCGGAACACTGCGGGTTAGATTCCCATCCCTGGACACTTTTATTTTTCCGTTTATCATTACTCTTCACAAATCACCCTTTCATACCTCATCCAAAAGGTTAGAAATAATCGTTATTTCTCCTTGAAATAAAATTTTAATTTTCGTTGAAAAGAAACACATGCGGGATAGTATTTCAAAAGTCGTTTTACAAATAAAAATATGATTATGTAATAAAAAGTTCTTATGTTTATTTTGATTATCTTGAGGATTATGCCATGGTAATGCAGTCGTGGTTAAAATCTTGAAAGTATATACTAAAAATAGTCTTGATCAGTAATTGCTTTAATTGAACTAAAGGAATATATTTAAAAAAAAAACATAATTTGATAAAAGTACTGTCTGGCTTAAGGCCTAAGAATAAAAAATACGTTCTTGTGTGATGTGATTTATTAATTAATTGATTATCAAGATTTTTCCATATAATGTGTCTGCATCATGTTTCGAAAATCGCTTCCAACAATTCCGAAAAGAATTAAAACAACACAAAAAACTTTATTAGGGATAAAATCCCATACAGGATTCTCCCAGTTTAACAATGGTTTTAATTAAACATAAATCAAGTGCTATATACGATTCAACATGAGCCCAAAAAAAAAAACTATTTACACTAGTTTCAATTTGCATTTCTGTCTGTTGTCCTCATCGTACTCTGAATTTATAGAACTAAATTATTCACTATAGTGTTAATCAGAGTATTCCATTAGCCCTGCATTTTACCAAGTTTCAATTCCGAAAAGAATTATTTGAAAAAGGAAAATTCAAAAGGATTTCCTAATTTATATTGTAACGTAGAAAATTAGGAAAGACTAACTTCAGGATGACACTCTCTCTCTCTCTTGAAGTAACCTGGAACGTACGGATGACACGGCGGTGGAATCCTGGAGCCAGTCTCTGAAAATGTAGATCACAGCACCCATGGCATCAAGGTCTTCTCGGCGATCTTCAGTTCGTCTTCCCTAATCTACCCAACATCTCCACCAAAATGTAATGTGGAAAATTAGGAAAGACAAACTTCAGAATGACACAGCAGTTTATTTAAGGAACAAACACAAATCAACATTTATAAGAAACAAGATAAGCAATGAGGTAAGTTTACAGAGTATCAAAAATATATAAATAATATAAATATAAAAAAGAAAAATCTGTATATAAAATATAATAAATACTTTGCTACAATATAAAACCGCGTTCAAATTCTATATTTTTTAATTCAAAGAATAATGTTCGATACATATTCTGGTGTGTGATATAAAATTATATATTTTCCATTGCAGTAAGGGCAGTAAATATTGTTTAATTTTTAAAAGTATCATACGTTTCGAATATTCAAAACTTTAAATATATTTAGGCTTAGTAACCTATCTTCACATTGAAAATTTAAATGCATATAATATAGCGACAATTGATAAAAAGTTAATTGTCTTTCTTTTCCAGATATCTTAAACATCTTTTTTTGCATAAAAAGACGGTGGATGAGAGGGTAACACGCTCGATTCCTGACAGTCATGAACCGGGATTGAATCCCGCGTTAAAAATTGTTTAATATGTGAATAACCTTCACATATATTAATCACTGTTTCAATTATCATGAACTAGGTTGCTCTTGCTGAGCGGTACCTATTAATGTGAATTTGAACCAGACAGATCTTTTTTGCCTTTCCCAGCATTTTATGGCAGTTATCCTTTTTTCAAAACTAATTTGTTTACATAGATAAAAAGAAAAGATTTTTATATAATAATCATTCATTTCATTAAGAAAATTTCTAATTATGCAAATATTTACGTGTATATATATATATTATATAATCTAAAATGCGAATATTTTATTTTTCAAAAACATGTATTTTACTTTCATCATTGACTCTTCATTTATTTTTGACCATAGATTTAGAACACTTTGATAATTGTTGTAAATATGTATAGTTGAGCATTTTATTTTTTCAATTCGCGAATATAGATATAATTATAAATTCTATATTACTGTGAAAAATAATTTTATGTGTAATTTGCTTCAAGTTTTTAAAAATGAAAACTACTTGATGGGTAAATAACTATTTCCTTTTTCACGACTGCACCTTCAATTCTATATCTTTTTCGAAAACAAAACAAAATAATCATAACATATAAATGTATATTATCCTCTAGTTTCTTGGATAGTTGCCTGTTGAAGGGTGTCATAGTCCGAAAGCTTGGCGATTATACAGCACAAACTCGTCGACGTAAAATTTTATTCCCTTTTCAAAATCACAAGCTATAACCTTTACAACATATTGTATTATTAAACAACGCAAGGTAGGTGTAAAATTTCGTCTGCTACTATATCGACCGTCTTATTCTATAAATACATTGGACACCGCGCGATGGACTAAATTCCTCTTTAAACTTCGAAGAACATTTTAAAATAAAAATTCCAAGCAGAAGATCGATTTCAACCAAAAGGATCGAAAAATCAATACACAAAACGGCGGCATTAATATTCAAAATACTTGACAAAATTCCTGCAGTTTATTCCTTCGACATTTTCAATATAAAACGTTCACATAGGGAATAAAAAGTAAATATTTGAAATCGAATATTTGCAATAAATCCTTCTTCAAAGGTCTTTACCTGATACCTTTAACCTGATTTAAAGCAGCTTGAAATATAAGGTTGTCCCAAACATTCGTGTTTTTCTTATTACTTTTGGCGAATAATATTATTACGGCGGATACATAAAAATACTCGTACAAAGCAATAATGCGCCATCTATATATAACGAATAAAGACATTAAGACGCGAATGTATCTTTTCACAAATAAATCAAACTTCTACTGTCCTTACTGCGATGAAAAATGTAAGTGTAGCATATAAAATCACAATGATCCAATACAGTATTAGAGCTCTAAAGAAGCGGTCTGGTAGATTAAATTGGTGACCGCTGGGAGGGTTCACTACTGATGAACCAAGCCCTCCCATTATTTTTTCATCGCAGTAAGTACAGTAGAAGTTTGATTTATTTGTGTAAAGAAACTTTCGCTTCTTAATATTATCTTTCGTTATTCATAATAAAACATAATACAATAATATAATACAATATAATGCGGCTTATGATTGTAAAACGACATTTGAAAATTATCCCGCCTGTGTTTCTTTTGAACGAAAAATCTAAATTTATTTTTAAATAGAAGTGGAACACTGTAGGTTCGATTCCCATCCCTAGACACTTTTATTTTTCCGTTCATCATTACTCTTCACAATTCATCTTTTCATACTTCATCCTTAAGGTCAGAAATAATCGTTATTTCTCCTTAAAAATAAATTTCGATTTTTCGTTCAAAAGAAACACATGCGGGATAATTTTAAAAGGTCGTTTTATAATATGTACAATCACTTTATACATAATTCAAAGACATTATACATAACGGCGAATAATATTGGTATTTCGATTTTTTGCAAGTGTTAAAGAGGTTTTGGGACAACCTTGTAAACTAAGATATATTTCCATTTAACAATGAATAAATATCGAGAATGTATCATGCTTTATCTTTGATAATTTTGAAGGAAACAATCAGAAATTTTATATCAAGCTCAATATGATTTGAATGTAAGATACGTTATAGCATGTAGATGGGAATATATTGATGGTGCTTCTATTTATGTTTCTATTCTGATTCTCTCTGGAAAGAAGCTTTCTTTTTTTTACTTTGTAGGATTGTATTATGTGTGTTAAGACAACCTATGTCACCTAGAGCTTTGTTTGGACCAAACGGTGTCTTGTGAACAGTCGTTTTTCCGAGGTCAAGGCAGCAAAGATAATATACGGTGTAGAAATCAGCAAATTTATAACTTTGGTATCAATGTAAGACCAGAGAGACCTCACCAAACCACCTCTTGGAATGCATGGGAGTCCCAAGACAGGATTGTGAATTTGATCAATGAATATAGTCTCCATGACCTTGTATAATTATACAATGGTTAATAAAAAAAAATCTGGTACATCATGAGTAGTTCTCCTCTACGTGACGGGCGGGAGAAGCAACACAAGTAAGGGACTGTCCTGTAAGTACGGTGTCGTGAGCCCCGAGCCGCTACGGTAACCGTGAACAGGGAACTCTGAAATGTGGCTGACTAATGGGGCAATGGCACCCCCTCTTTCAATGGAGCGACATGAACAAGTCACCACCACCATCTTTATCTTCTAGTCTTCTGGCAGTTCAAATTAAACAAGTTCCATTAATTTGACATTGAGAAAAGCTATCTTTACATCGAGTTGCTTAAGAAACATCCTTCTAGAAGCAGCGTGTGATAGAAGAATGCGTAACGAATGATACCTGACAACTGGACTAAACATATCGAAATATCATATAAAGTAATTTATAATACAACATAATGTGGCTTATAATTGTAGAACGACAGTTGAAAATTATCCCGCGTGTCTTTTTGAAAGAAAAATCGAAATTTATTTTAAGGAGAAATAACGATTATTTCTAACCTTAGGGATGAAGTATTAAAGGATGAATTGTGAAAAGTAATGATGAACGGAAAAATAAAAGTGTCCAGGGATGGGAATCGAACCCACAGTGTTCCGCTTACCGGGTAGACGCCATGTCCACTATAGGGTAGCCACCCTTGGCATATTTTTCCGTTCGTAAATAGTCAACATTTTTTATTTGAGAATAGCCTTTTGTAAATAATCTGAATTTGAACCATTGAGTTGAACCATCGGATTCCGTTCTAATTTTATAACCCCATTTACAACCGATAGGTTAATGACCATCTGCCAAGCGTTCTAAAGTCTACGTTTTGTTTAATGCACCAATCTCTATTTCCATCTTTCTGACAACAATAATATCCCTATTCACTATTGAAAAAGAAACACAGGTTTTTATACAAATCCAGGCCATCCCCTATTTGAATTTCTTGTCTCTTTTACACTTTTTACCTTTTTTCCATAGTATATAATTATATTTGAATATGTCCATTTGTTCTTCCTATTTTTATCAATATTTTCACAATTTGTATAATAGATTCAGCAATATAGCGCTTATAAAATATTTTGAATTATGAAAAAAAAATCTTAATTATACAGTTAAACTTGTCTATATCGCCCGATTTTAAACATTAAAATGTAAACATTTTACATTAAAAGTGACCTGTCTCTATAGCACCCCCTCTCTATAGCACCCTATTTTGGTGAGTCCCAGGAGGGGCACTATAGACAGGTTTAACTATATATATATATATAAACCACTACCACACATTGGTATCATTCTCTACCTGTTGTTGTTGTCGTGTCCAAAGAAGAGTCTCAGATGTCTCCATGCATCTCCATCACAGCAGCAGCAATATCCACTATCTTGGGTGTGTAAAGCTGCTGCTCTGGGTCTAAGTCAATTATTCTCTACCTGTAAAATGGACGTAATGCCCTAAATCCTGTACGTTCATCCTCTTAGGTAAAGAATCTCTTCACCCCGAACTGCGTTTCTTCTTCTACACTGGTGTTCAAAATTAAGGAACACAACCACTTAATGTTAGTTTTATCAAAAATATAAAATTGTCTGGGACGAAAATTTGTAGGTGGATAGACAAAACTATAACAAATAAAAGTGACAAAATAAATTTATTGTTGAAATATTTTTTTTACAGTTATGCAAATTAATGTTAATTATTCCAAAAGTCAGATAGATGTTGACAATAGTTGATGACTTAATAGGGTGTGTGGTCGCTTCTAACAGCTAAACAGCTGTCACAACGATATTCCATCCTATTTATTAGGCAATTGAATAGCTCTTGAAGCAACAAATCTCACTCTTCAACCAAGGCAGTTTTAAGTCCTTGGTTCGTCCTAGGTGGGGTTGAACGAGATCCAATTCGTCTCCCAAAGGCTTCCCAAACTCTTTTCAGGGAAATGATTATGTAGAAATAATTTTTCTTCTTCTTTCTTATCTCCACTCAATCATAACTGGGTGAAGTAGAATGCGTCTGCCTTTGTCATTAAGACTGGGAGCACTACTCAGTAGCAGGCCGACTTAGCTCCAAAAGAAATGGCCGCCTCTGACATGAGGAACAGATACCATGTTCAGCCGCTCCTAAAATGGAGTACAAACACTGCTCATCCTGTATCCCTGGATTAGGAGCCCTTACAGGGTACTATCAGCCGGGCCAGATGAGCCCAAGTTTTTTAGCGAGCTTGTTACTGCTCCCCCTCCTCCTTTTTTATCCGGGCTTGGGACCGGCAAAGGCGGATTTAGAAATAATTAATAGAATTAAGCTCGTATTTATTTCTCGATATATGCAGATACGTGACGCTGTATTTTATAAAATCGCAAACTAAGAAGAAATAGGATTTAGAATAAACATTCCCCTGAGAAGAATGACAGAGAGTCATTGGAACGTTGAGAATTAAATAAATTATAGGTTGATGTGGCTGTGTTTTTCTCCAAATCAACTTCCAACCAATAAATGATGTTCAAAATTCTATTGTGGTTGATATAATGGTAGCTTGGTCATATGGGCATAGCATTCTATGGGTAGATGACATACATACCATGTGTGCTATAAGGAATGCTTGCAAGAAGATCAATCAAAGAGTGACGTAGAACTTGTCAAGTATTTTTATTACTATTAAAATAAGAACATTAAGCCTCCAGGAAAAAGTTTCTTTTTAAAATATTGTCACTGAATAATTATTTTAAATATTCTGTTGTTTATCATCATCTTGTTGTTTATCACCCCTTACCATGCTTGTAAATTACCACTTGAAAACCCTTTTGACACATTTTGCAATATATAAGTTTAATTAATAAATAAATTATTTTTATTTAAGCTTTTGGAATACTTGTCTTCTCTACCGTGACAATATTTTTATTTAAAATTCTCTCAAGCTTACGGGCAAGAAAGCCCTTCTACGGGAGAAATATTTTAAATCAACAACAACAAAAAGCCTTTATTTAGGGTCACTGACCCTATACAGGATTCACCAGAGGTATGCATAAGAACAAAGCAGTGAGACAAAGGAAATAACGATATAGACAAAAAAAAAAGAAAAAAAACAAGAAAGAGAAAGAGGGAGCAAGAAAAACAACACAAAAAGAGTAGCAGTAAGAAAGTGAGGAGTGAGTGTCACTTGGCCTTCTTCTGAGATATGGACTTGCGGAAACCATAAAACGCCGTAGCAATATACTTATTCTGAGTCATATTGTCAATTAATGATGGAAGTTAAGCACAAAGTTGCCCAGTTTTGAGCATAAGGGTTCTTCTTTAAATATTTTAAATCATTAAAACGCCAATAAAATAAGATTTGAAATTAAATAAAGGGCTTTCTTGCCCTAAAGTTTGAGAGATTTTAAAATACAAATATTAAAAAAAAAATTTACTTGGAGGCTTAATGTTCTTATTTTAATATTCATTCACAAGGGATTATTTTATAGAATACTAGCGGATGTACCCGGCTTCGCCCGTGTTTTACCCGAGTAAAGGTTTGTCTAACGAATCTCTCGATAAAGTGAACATTTTTTCCCGGTCCTTTGAAAAATACTCGATAAGTTGAATAAAATCAATATTAATCGGTACCCGAGTAAAGGTCTGTCTAACGAACATCTGTTAAAACAATTCTCTATAAACTTATAAAAAGAAATAGATATATTTTGATAATTTGAAACTGATAAAGTGATCATTTTTTCCCGGTCCCTGTGTGCCGTGTCATTCTGAATTTTGTCTTTCCTAATTTTCTACATTACAAAATCATCGTTTTATCTAGTGAACATTTTTCCCGGTCCCTTGAAAAATACTCGATAAGGTTGAATAAATTCATGGTCGTTTATGGAAGATGGACGAAGTTCCCAGAGGTCATCTTGGGCAAGCTCCCGCGAGGCTTTTTTTCTTGTCTACTTGGCACAGCTGTGTCACCAACTCTGCCCTGATTGGTCGGTGGGTACTTGGACTGTACCCATTCTCTCACGGGGTGGGGCAGACCTAAGCCTATCTCCGTCGCAAGGTGGCGCTTCTTGCGAGTTAAAGCTACAAATCTGCAAATAACTCTAAGGATATTAAAGATATTCAAGAAATTATTTTTCGTAAACCTTTCCGGGGATACACCTAATAATATCCCAAAATTTCACGGCGATTGGATGTATGGTTTTTGAATCCATAGAGGACACACACACTCAAGCGAGCGGCCACGCTTTCGCGAGCTCCGCCGTTTTCGCCTCTGGAGTGCGTGTAAATGTCGTTAGACATGCCAAAATCGGTACCGGCGGAGAGCCCAGGATCTGCTGATCTAGTGCCTGGAAGGCCCAGCATCCTGTCCCAAACAGGTGAAAAGTTATCACCGAAAAACGGCTTTCAGAGCAAGATTTCTTTAGAAAACTCTGAAAATGAAGAAAATGCAAATTCGCCGGCAGGCGAAAGGCATGCAAATCTGGCCGCCGAGCGTGGTGACGTCACGGCGCCGAAGACTGCTGCTACGACCAGCTCAACTCCAGCTAGCCCGGCCTCGCTCAACTGGGCCGACAGCGAGATGGCGGAGGTAGACGCCAACGAAGGCTACACCATCGTGAAGAGCAAGAAAAGGCGCCTCTCTTCAACACCTGAGCACGCCGCAAAGCAGGCAAGCAGGCCTGCTGAGAAACGCGGCCCCCAGCAGCAGAAGCGGACAACAGGGCCGAGGTCAATGCCGCCCCAGGAAATCAAGGCGACGCGCGCCAACATCGCCGCAGCCAGGGCGAGGCAGGCCACCACCAACCACGAGAACTACATCTTCGTGGAGCTGTGCCCAGACATCCCGGACTACTCCTACCTCAAGGCCATGAGCACGCTACTCGGAGGGCCAAAGAGCATCACGCAGTTCCACCGAATGAACGGCCACTTCATCGTCGGTCTCGCGGACAAGGAACTTGCGAACCGTCTGGTCGCGGACGGCCTGGAAATCGAGGGTACGTCCCTCAAGGTTTTCCCCTTCCGCAAGAGGGCGGAACGAATAGTCGTGGCCAACCTGCCCGGCTTTGTGGAGGACAACACCATCGTGGACGCCCTGAGCCAATACGGGAAGGTCACCTCCATCGCCCCCATCCTGGTCAAAATGGGGGAGTTCACCTTCACCGACGGCCGCCGGGAAGCATTCATCCTGCTCCGCGAGAGCGTAAGGCTGGAGACGCTGCCCACCCGACTGACCATCCACTCCAAGGGAGACACCCTGTCGGCCTTCCTCTCCTTTGGAATCAAGTGTTCCAAATGCGGAAAGCAGGGCCACCGCAGAGCAAACTGCCCATCGCTCGCCAGGCAGAACAGCAGCCCCAGGCAAGCAGCGTCTCCCACCGACGCAAGCCCCCCCATCTCCTCCTCCTCCTCAGCAGCCAAGGAGGCCGACACCTGCGCCCGCAACATCGGCGTCCCCTGTCCAACCGGCGAAGTCTTCAACTGAGGCTCCAGTGACCCCCTCGGCACACCAGCCTGCCGAACAGATGGATATAACCCACCCCGCCCCTGCTGCCCACCCTGCTTCCCTGGCTGCCCCGCGGCCCCCCCGAGCCTCGCATCCCTCCGCTCGCCCACGTGATGTCGGAGGAGAAGCTGTCCTCACCTCTCGCCACGCCTGCCCGGGGAAAGGCCGCACTCGAACAGCTGCTGGAGCACC